TCAAGAAAAATTTATTATTGTTTTAAAAGGATAAAGTTAATAAATGTTTAAAAAAATTTTATTTCACCTAAGAAAATTAAATAAACAGTCATTTATTTTTTATTGAATTGATAGATTTATGCGAAATAAGATAAAAGTTAAGTAATATGTTAAATGGCTTCTTTGCTAAAATATACAAGTTTTTTGGTTTTAAAAAAAATTGTTTTGCTAAAAAAATTCATTTTTGAAATAAAGAATTCATTACGTTATGTTATTAATAATCAAACTTAATTTAAGGATAAACAGAAAAAGAATATTTATATTCAAAAAAGTTATAAGCCATACCATACCATAAAAAAAAAAAAGTAATCAAGTTTCTAATATCAGGATTGCTAACTGGAGAGTGGATAAGGTATTCGGTTTGGGTGCCAGAGGTCGGAAGTTGAAAAAGAGTTAAAACGTGTTTTTTTTTTCTTTAACTCGTTGACGAAACAGAAGTAAAATTCAATAAAATTTAAAATGCATGCTGTGAAGGAGTGGCTTTGTGTGGCATGGTATGGAGGGCAAGAGGCCCGAGGTAGTCTGGTGAGGGAAGCGGAATATAGAGAAAGTAGCATGTGACATTTATTTCTATTACATGTTTACTTAAGATCATCAACAATATTGCTACCTATAAGGGTCAGTAAACTTATAAAGAAGGGGATGGCAGAATAACTACGCCTAGATTTATGTACAGTCCCATTTAAAATGAGAAGAGACTTGCGGTTTCTATTGCTTGCTTATTTTAGCACCAATGCTTACTACTGCTGCTGCATGGCCCAAGTGACGTATACTAAGACCTTCCAAAGAGTAACTACTTGAGCCACTCAACAGCTACTAATCCACGTACTTTGCAGCCAGTATCTAATTTACTTGAGGGAAGCAGAAAGTGCCCCTTGGAACCGAATTGACTGTTAGCCACGTGTCACGTTACCACTAACATCAATCCTCAGGAAGCCATAAACCTGGAGTGAGGGGCATAAAATCTTATCACGCTCACTGTTTCTCTTTGCTTGTCTATGTTAACGGCAACTAACGACAGACACCGATCCTAGCAGCATTTTCCTTTGTACATTGTCTTAATATCTATTATTGGCTCCACCCCCTATCTTTTACTTGCCTCCTCACAGCTAGACGACTACACCAGGCAAACTAAGCACCTGACGATACACTTAAAACTTTTGGGTAGTATTTTCCAGAAAATAAGTTGAACAACAAAACTTTCTTACAGCCATGTGCACATTTTTTCAACTTTTTGCTGAGTCACGATTAAGTCAACATAAAAAAAAAATCTACTATTAAAGGCCAAAAACCTTATCCAATACCTCGCAAACCTCCTCCTAACAACCGTTGATCGATTGCCTACCGCCGAATAACGACTGATGATGAGCTTACTATGCATCCGCGCCCCCTCACTCTTACTAAATAACCACTTCAGCATTGGCTGCAATGGTCAAAAGTTTGATGCCGACCGCAACCTTCAGAGCGCTTCTTTATTAGCACCACTGCCGGCCAAGCTGTGAACTACACACACACGCACACACACACACACTTACACATAACAGTGGGACTCCACCCCCTTACGCGCTCCGCACGCCAACCCCCCCTTATTGTGTTATAAGTGTAATTTTTTCAAAATAAGGTTTGTATTCATATTTTTGTAAGCCTTAAAAAATGATAAAATTAATTGTTAGTATGAAACTAATATGTTAAAGTACATCTTACAGAATTCGAAAGACTATGGCATTTTTCAAAAATACTTGGGTATAAATTTTCTACGCTAGGGAATGATTACTGGTCTGCTTTTAAGGAAATATGAAGAACAAGCTGCTAACTTCTAATAAAAGTGATGGAGTTTATATAAACAAAGAGATGTTCCTTTGACTTTTTGTTGGTGAGCTTTATTATTTCTTCTAGGGGCTCCCTATTTTAAATGAGCTGTCTATCCTGTATGTATTAATGGATATTTCTAAGCTCTTATAACTATATATGCCCCCTGCTCGCTTTGCGCACCAACCCCCGTAATTGCGAAGTAGATGTGAGAAGTATCGAAAAAAGCCCGAACTATATTAACTGTTACTTAAAACTTATATGTGTAACAAATGTATATTAATCATAATTAATTACATGAATTTTTAACAATCACTTTTTATTTTCCCTGACTAATAACAGCTATTTCTATGGGATTAGTGGAATACGATTTTCAAAACGATATAATTTTTGAAGAAGCATGTAATGTTATGCTGCCTTTTCAACTACGAAAATTTTTCGCATGGTTTATTATGTCTGAAAACTTTTTTGGTAATATTATTTGAAAAAACTACAAAAAAATTTTTTTTAAGATTGTGAAGATGATCAAAATAAATTACATGAATTTTTAACAATCATTTTTTATTTTCCCTGACTAATAACAGCTATTTCTATGGGATCAGTAGAACACGATTTTCAAAACGATATAATTTTTGAAGAAGCATGTAACATTATGCTGCCTTTTCAACTACGAAAATTTTTCGCGTGGTTTATTATGTCTGAAAACTTTTTTGGTAATATTATTTGGAACAAATACAAAAAATTTTTATTGAAGATTGTAAAGATGATCAAAATAAAGCTCTTTTACA